TTAACTTGCTGTCCGCATCGCAACTGCGAGCTGAGTAAAACCTCAATCCTCCTGATCTGAGTTCAGCTATTTTAAACTCCAACTTTCAGTGCGATAAGAAGGACCGTAATCATCTTCCCATGGGAACTGCTTGTGAAACGGACTTTACGTAAACTGTTGATATAGTGGGATAGGCCTTTAGAAAAGGATAACCAGCCAAAAATTTGAAAAGATGCAACACAACCCTCGATAGAGGCAAATGGAAACCGACGCCGCTCATGAGGTCTGTTGTTAGCTCAGATTCTAAATTATCAAGAACCGAATAAAAGCCAAAGAACAATAACGGTGGATGGCCTGGTATTTGGTGTCAGTCTGGGAGCTTTCTAAACAGAAAATTTCTTTTAAAGTTGGGAGCTGGTATTCGGGTATACGATCGCGCAAAGTGCATTAAGGTGCTTACTCTTGTTATCGGGAAACAAAAAGTATTAAATGGTGCATATACGAGAATTAACGATCGATTTAATAATATGAAACCGGATACGACATGAAAGTTTTCTGAGAAGCGAGGGCCTAGCGGGTAATTTTGCGTCCAAGTATTCAGAACGGAAGACTTACCGAGGCTTCCAGTTTTAATTTGGCTTCATGCACACGCATCAGTAGGGGTACCCCGAAAGCTAGCGTCTTTCCACTGCCCTGTAAAGAAGAGAAATATAGAATGCTCGAATATTGCATACTGTTGGTGCCGAGCCTAGGATATCGGCATAGTTGCGAATGGCCAGAGTCAATACATGTCGTTGGATAGGAGTCGGCTCCTCGAACTTTAGGTCCTCAATCGCCTTGAGAATATCATCGGAAATCAGAAGTGATTTCCACATACTCATATCCATCTTTCCTGCAAAAAACCGTAAAAAATGGAAAGGATGAGAGCTGCGTAAATTCCGCCAAAAATGCAGCGTGCAACTAGTATTCGGAGAGCTAGGGTTATTTGTAAAAAAATGTCTTAAGGAGTAAGTTCAGTCATTCAAGAAGTTATAAACTTTGATGCTAATTGTAACTTGAATACAAGCGTACATCATCAATATTCATGTTTGATTCTATAATTTAGACTCATCCAAGAAACAAGAGTAGACCAATAATTGAGAAAACATTCAGTCGTTAGAGACCCGTTTTACTTGAAGTGCCAGAGAGACAACTTAAAATAAATATCAGAGTAATCTTAGCTACGCCGCCTACAACAGCCTGATACGCTATGTGACTGTGGTTTGAAGTTGAGAGTAAATAATATATAGAAGCGGTAATAGTAGCGAAAATTCGATTCCCAGGTGGTAAGTCAGAAGGAGAAAGGG